AGCTGCATAACCCACTCAGATTTAGAGAACTGTCAGTTGAGGATCCTGACTACAGCCTGGTTGTCACACCAAAAACATAGTGCCTTGTTCTTAAAGGAACTGGTCCAGATGTGACCAGCCACCAAAATAGGGAATAACTCCAGAACCCAAACTCCCTGCTGTGTCGGAATGGACATGTAGCACCTGGCCCAGGTTCCAAGGGTGCTGCTACAAGGGAATGCCATTGAAATCCTTAAGGAATTCCAACCACCCGGAGAGGTCCTCCCTGATGCCCTTGGTGATGTGTATATGATCGTGGGCCACCCTGCAAGCAAAGTTTAAATGGCCCAGCAGGGACTGGAAGTTATTTAAGGAAATGATGGGCCAAGATGGTGCTTAGTAGAATGGCTTGTAGGTTGTGAAGCTTGTCGTCTGACAGGAGAGATACACCTGACACAGGTAAGTGACAGGAGAGATACACCATGATGCCCAGGTAAGTGAGCATCATGGAGAGCCCTTCAGTCTTGTCTGCAGCCAAGGGGACTCCCAGCTCAGCAGCCAAGGATTGGAAAGTGGTCAGGAGCTTGGAGCAACCCTCCTCCCCTGCCCTCCCAATGAACAGAAAGTCATCTTGGTAATGGGTGACCAGAGGGGACCCAGCACAGCCTTTTACCTCCCATTAAAAGAAAGTGCTGAAGTTCTTGAAGTCCATGCAGCTGACGGAGCACCCCATGAGCATTGCCTTGTCAAAGTACCAATGCCCTTCAAATTTGAATCCCAGGAGGCAGAAGTCATCAGAGTGGACAGGCATCAGTTGGAATATGGACTGGATGGCACATTTGCCCATGATGGCTCCCAGGCCACATTCCTAGACAAACCTGACAGCATGGTTGAAGGAAGAGTACCGCACTGAGCATAACTCATGGGGATGGCATCATTGACAGACACACCAAGAGGGTGGGACAGATGGTGAATGAGGTAGTACTCACCCAGTGCCTTCTTGGGGACTATATCCAGGGGAGAAACATGGAGGTTGTACAGAGGAGGAGCAAGAAAAGGCCCTTTCACCTGGCCAACCTTGCATTCCTTGAGGATCTTGTCCCTGAGGACAAGGGGCAAGTCCCTGGTGGATTTCAGATTGCAGGCATCAGAGGCAACACAATGCCCTGAGGCTGGGATATGAAACCCATGTGTGAACCCATGTTCCAAGAAGAGGGCCACCTGTTTGTTAGGGTACCTTTGGAGAATGGGGCATAGCACCAATGGGCACATGAGAGTGAAGGCAAGGCTGAAACAGGGAGGGATAGCCTCTGGCAACTCATTTGGGATCCCAAAACTCTCCAGTAGTGTAGTCAGAGGCTCCTTCTTTTTTACTGGAGGCTGCCAGGCTGGGGTGTCCCACTTAAAAGGGCTGTTCGGCACTAGCAGGGTGGAAGCAAGCCAGCTTGGCATGTGATCTGAAGCAAACCTCACAGCAATGTTCAAACTTACACTGGGATCTGACACATTTCCTCAAATTGAATTCCCAGCAGACCAGTTTATGGGAGTCGCTTCCCTGCCCACTGGTGTAGCCTGGAGGAATCTCCCTTACCCGTGATGTGGGGACCTATGAGAACCAGCCAAAGTTTGTCACTAATGAGATCTCACCTGGTCCTGCTACTTTGGAAAGCCCTATTTTGGAAAGCGGAGTCATTCCATGGCTGCCACTACCCCCTCCATGGTTGCCACTTGAGGACAATGGCCAAGTGATTGGAGAAGTGCCAGCCCCACTCGGGATACACCATCTGAATCACTGCCATGAAAACCAAATACCCAGCCAGTTCCTTGGAGAAGGAACCCAGACTTGTGGGACTGACCCTCCTCCCTTTCAGGTTTTAGTAAGGAAAA